CTGTTACCAACTGTTATCCATGGATTGGATAACGTCAAATATGCCTCTGCAAAGTAAAAAAATAGTGGCCCCTTGCATCAAGAACAACCCGGTTCCTTGCACAACGCGACCACGATGCTGTTTGGATTGGCCCAGCCGATTCCTCGACTTGACCTGGGTCTTCACATGACCGCATGCCTCCTTTTCTCTTCTTGGCTTTTTGCACGGGGTCGTGCATGACGCCTGGGATGACATGAAACCTGGTGGGTCGTCGAGCCACTGAGGCAGAGGGAACGGGCATGACACGTGGATGCGACAGGTCTGGCGAAGCAAAGGGGTTCATAAATTGGCGTTTCGTCCAAACGTTCCTGGGTGGGCACGGCCCAATCGCCTTGCTTGAGAGGTTGGCGAAGACCTTCCCCCTTGCCCGCTTCCCCGACCCCAGTCTTCCTACACCCACTCTGTCTCTTTTTCTCCCATCTGCATGCCTTAGGCATGCGCCACGGTTGGGCTATGCAGGTAATTCTGGTTGGGTGTGTTTGTCGGAAGGGGCCTTGGCTCCCAAGCATTTCAATCGATGGGCCTGTCCACATGCCTGTGTCCTGTAAAATCGTTTTCATCACACCAAGCCAAGCAAGGCACATGCACCAGGGTCATCTCCGCTTCCTAAATGGCCACACATCTATCTACCACCCCTTGTAAAACCCACTCGTCCAACACCACACCAAGCTCCAAAAAGTGCACACCACACACTCTCTCTCTCTTCATGCGCTCGCTCACTCTCTCACACACTCTTCTGACAATGTTACACACTTTACACTGTTAACATGTTGTTGTGGAAAAAAAATCAAAATTCTGCACGCGATTGATCTCTCATGTTGCGGAAGGCGCCACTGCCTGTGCCGCGCGTGAGCGCTTGGTGTCTTTCTTGGTCAGATTAGGTCTATGCCTCGCTAACTCGCTCTCAAACTCGCTCTTTTTTTTTGAAACTTGCTCTCTCTCTCTCTCTTTCTCTCCTCTCTCTCTCTCCTCTCTCTCTTCTCTCTCTTCTCTATCTCTCTTCTCTTTATTTCTCTCTTTCTCAACCGACCAAACCAATTCTCTTCTCTCTCTCTCTCTCTTCTCTCTCTCTCTCTCTCTTCTCTCTCTCTCTCTCTCTCTTCTCTCTCTCTCTTCTCTCTCTTCTCTCTCTTCTCTCTCTTCTCTCTCTTCTCTCTCTTCTCTCTCTTCTCTCTCTCTCTCCACATTTTTTTTTTCTCGACCAATTTTTGTTGTGTGTCGATGCGAGAGAGGATCGGAGCGTTGTCCTCATCCATTTCGGCGCCGACGGGGGGTGTCGTTTGGAGCAGGTTCTAGACGGCTCACACGGGCACACACACTCGACTCGTCTCACTTCACTTGAGCCGTCTCGTAACGCAACGACCGTCATTACTGCACGCTGCACAAGCTGGGAGGATGGCCGTCGCTCAAATTGAAGCGGACCTCCGCCAGGCGCTGATGCCTGTAGCGGGAGGAGCTCAACCGCAATCACGTCTCACCGTCCTTGAAGGTAGGCAATCGCCTCAATCCGTCTACATGCTCCGTCTGCCATCTGCCACGCCTCGGCATGGACTCAGTGACCCCCTTGTGCCCGTGGCAGAGAGCTTGGACCATTGCGCTCGTGATCTAGTCAACCTGATGGCACAATGGCACTCAAAAACACATCTTATTGATGGCCGGCGAGAAATCACGTCCAGGTGCGACCCCTGCCGCGCCATTTCGCCCTTGAGAACCCTCCCTTGGACTCCACCATCCTACAAGCTCGAGAGCTTCGCTCTTCCTCCTTCCTTGCTTGCTTTTTTTTTCCTTCCCTTTCCATGCTTCTCTTCTTCCTCCACCCGTCTCCTCCCTTGCTCGGACTATACCATACTCTCTTGTTTTCTTACTTGCCATCAGAAATGGCCCCTTTCCCTCTCATGTTCACCTTGCGCTTTGCCTTCGCTGCATAGTTTGCAACGCATCGCATTTGCAGATCTACCGCAGCTCAACCCACCACAGCTCATCGTCTGGCGAGCACACGACTTGCTCTTTGAACTTGCCTGTGGCATGTCGGGCCTCTTGCGCGCCCTTCAACGAAGCGCCGGCGCCTGCTTGCTCGTCGTCGACGCTCGCCTCACCGAGACGGAGCGCAGCTACCTGCAACGACATGCATCCGTCTACATCCAGTTGGCTGCCCCCCCGACCGCTTATGGCCTCCTCGGAAATCGATTTCGTCAACTCGAAGAGGGCCTGCCTCTTCGCCCCGCGTCCTCCCCGGCCCTTACTCGCCACGCTAACGTTACTACTGTTTCCCGGCACGGTAAAATGAGCCGTCGCTCCGAATCCTTTGCCATCGATGCCAGGCGAACCGCCCTCCGTCCTGTCCTCGACCCTGCTCTTGCGGCCAATCCCATCCCGGGGGACCGCAAACCCTCTGCGGCCCCCGAGAAGCCCGCCTCTACGTCAAGCCCAACCAAGCCGAGTGCTTTGGCCGGGCCTCAGCGCAATGCCCTGCTTCCCTTCACACCTGAAGGCCGCCAGGCCGCACAACAACACTTGGCCGCATATCAAGTGACCCTGCACAGCAATCCCAGTTCAGGCGGCCAGGTCATGTACGAGCCCGACGAATTTGATGATCTCGATGAAGATGATCCCGATGACGACCTTGACATTTAGACGTGTTTTTTGATTTCGGCAGGCGAGTGCTGATCAGCTGGTTGTTCTGGCTGCTCTGCCTCCC